CCCATGTTTTGGGACCATGATGGTAAACAAGTATTCCAACTTTCAAATTAATATCTCAAACAGTTCAGTCAAAAAAGTGGACTGGTACTAAAAAAACTTAACCAAGATTCTAAGTCGATAAAAGGCCTTAATTTTTAAAACAAATCCTTGACAGAGTTACCTTCTCTTGCGTACAGATGGGGGTAATGATGTGAAATAGCATTAAAAGTTTCAAAGCAATATCTCAAAGGGTTAAGGCAATAAGTGGATTTTTACCCATATTCAATGTATTTTTCTAAGTCAAAAAGGGGCAAAATTCTGTCAAAAAACCTTGACAGGAGTTATGTCCTCTTGTCTGTTGATGAAGGTCGTGATGGTAAACAAGTATGGTCAGTTTCAAAGCAATACCTCCAATGGTTTTGAAATAAAGTGAGGTGGTACAAAAAACTTAACCAAGCTCAATACACTTTCTAAGTCAAAAAAAGGGCCATAATTCTGTCAAAAACCTTGACAGAGTTTATGTACTCTTGTCTGTAGATGGAGGGTTATGATGGTGAACAAGTATGGTAAGTTTTCAAAGCCATACTTGTAATACTTCTGAAATCATAAAGTGGGGTGGTACGAAAAACTTAACCAAGGTGTGACGCCAACGCTAACGCCGACGCCGACGCCGGGGCGAGTAGGATAGCTCCTCTTTTCATAGAAAAGTCGAGCTAAAAACGCTTATCTGGAGCAAAACTTCTACATGCATAGAGGGATTTCAATATAATTTGGCACAAATGTTCATTATTGTGAGGCTGAGTGCCGTGCATAAAATTCAGGTCCCTGCGACCAAGGTCAAGGTCACACATCCTGTGCATATCTTCCCTACTGATTTGTTTTAAAGTTCATTTAACAACACAGTGCCAAGAATAAAAACTTGCTTGCTAGATAACACTTATCCATAATGCCCCCATCTCCATCTAAAGCTTTCGTAAACGGGCGTATTTTGTGACAATGGCACCCTTGTTCAACTCTTGGTTTAGTTTTTGCGTGTAATCTAATATCTCCATTACTACTGAAGGGAATGGATTGAAACTTCACACACTTGTTCTCTGTGATTGTCTAACATGATTGGCCCAAGTCCCATAACTCTGATTTGGTTTTTTGCATAATTATGCCATTTTTTCAACTTAGAAATTCTTGGTTAAGTTTTTGTGTGCAAGCTGGTATCTCCATAACTACTGAAGGGAATGGATTGAAACTTCACACACTTGTTCTGTGATAATTTAACATGATTAGCATAAGTCTCATAACTCTGATTAGCTGTTTTGCATATTTATGCCCCTTTTTCAACTTAGAAATTCTTGGTTAAGTTTTTGTGTGCAAGCTAGTAATTACTGAAGGGAATGGATTGAAACTTCACACACTTGTTCTCTGTGATTGTCTAACATGATTGGCACAAGCCTCATAACGAGAATTTGCTTTTTTGCATATTTATGCCCATTTTTCGACTTAGAAATTCTTGCTTAAGTTTTTGCGAGTAAGCTTCCATAACTACTGAAGGGAATGGATAGAAACTTCACACACTTGTTTCCTGTGATTATCTAACATAATTGGCACAAGTCCTATAACTTTAATTTGCTTTTTGCATATTTATAAAAAAAATGCCCCTTTTTCGACTTAAAAATTCTTGGTTTAGTTTTTGCTTGTATGCTGGTATCTCCATAACTACTGAAGGGTTTTTGCCATTTTTGTGACAATTTTATGCATTCATAATAATCAAGCAGTGATTTACTCGATAAAACATCTTAGTAACAAGCCTTTGTACCTATTCAGACAATTTTATGTATACATATAGGTAAGCATTATTATACTCTATGAAACACCCTTGTGACAACTTTTTCGAATAGTCGAGCGTCGCTTTCCTCCGACAGTTCTTGTTAGATGATAAAGTACAGTCACAGAGAAAATAAGTAGATTGTATGGCTCACATTATTTGCTTAAGTTCTTAGCATTTAAATGTATTGTGCTTGTCGAAATTGATGACATTAAATTTAAAATTGAAACTGAAGATAATTGTTCTTTTTCATCATAAAATATTTTCTGTTATTTAAGAACAGATTGTCTACCTTTTGAACAAAACCTTGAAGAAGACCAATAAAAAGCCAGTGGTTGCTATGCAAGTCATTGGTTGTATGAAGAAGTCATTGGTTGCTAAAGAAGTCTATGGTTGCTTTGGAAAATCACAAGTTGCTATGGAAAGTCAATGGTTGCTTTGGAAAGACACTGGTTGCTAGGCAAGTCACTAGTGGCTATGGAAGTCACTGGTTGTTATGGAAAGTTAAAAGTTGATAAAGCAAGTCTTTGGGTGCTAAGGAAGTACATGTATATTGTTGCTGTGGAAAGTCAATAGATGCTATGCGTGTCACTGGTTGCTATGGAAAGTGACTGTTGCTATGAAATTAAATGGTTGCTATGAAAAGTCAATGGTTGCAATATTGATCAATTGTTGCTATGGAAAACAGTGGTTGCTATGCATTTCAATGGTTGCTATGGAAATAAACGGTTGCTATGGAAAGACAAAGGTTGCTATGAAGAGTAAATGGCTGCTATTGAAAGTCGGTGGTTTTTATGTGTGTCACTGGTTGCTATGGAAAGTCACTTGTTGCTATGGAAATAAGCGGTTGCTATGGAAAGTCAATGGTTGCAATATTGGTCATTGCTTGCTACGGAAAGTCACTGTTGTTATGGAAAGAGAAAGGTTACTATGAAAAGTGAAGGTCAATGGTTGATATGGTTAGTCTTTGGGTGCTAAGAAGGTGTATTGTTGTTATTGAAAGTAAATGGTTGCTATGGAAAGTAAATGGTTGCTATAGAAAGTTTATGGTTGCTTTGAAAATCAGTAGTTGCTATGGAAAGTGAATGGGTGCAATATTGGTCACTGTTTGCTATGGAAAGTCAATCAATGGTTGATATTGCAAGTCTTTGGGTGCTTAGGAAGTCCAATGTTGCTATGGAAAGTCAGTGGTTGCTATGGAAAGTCACTGGTTGCTATTGAAAAAAATGGTTGCTATGGAAAGTCAATGATTGCAATAATGGTCACTGCTTGCTACTGAAAGTCAATGGTTGCTATGGGATGTCAATGGTTGATATGGCAAGTCTTTGGGTGCTAAGGATGTATTTTTTTGCTATGGAAAGTCAGTGGTTACTATGCGTGTCACTGGTTGCTATTGAAATAAATGGTTGCTATGGAAAGTCCATGTTGCAATATTGGTCACAAGTTGCTATGGAAAATCACTGGTTGCTATGGAAAAAGGTTGTTATGGCAATGCTTTGAGTGCTAAGGAAGTCTATGGTTGCTACGGAAAGTCAGTGGTTGCTATGCAGGACACTATATGCTATGGAAAGTCAATGGTTTGCTATGGAATATAATATGGAAAGTCACTGGTTGCTATGAAATGTCAATGATTGCTATAGAAAGAAAGTGGTTGCAGTGAAAGTCAACAATTGCTATGGGGTCAGTGGTTGCAATATTGGTCATTGGTTGCGATGGAAAGTCAATGGTTGCCGTGAGAGAAACTAGTTGCTTTTGAAAATCACTGGTTGCTACAGAGGTCTATGGTTGCCATGGAAAGTAAATGGTTGCTATGTTAGTCACTGGTTGCTATGGAAAGTCAATGATAGCTTTGAAAGTCATTGGTTACTATGAAAAGTCACTTTTGCTAATTTGTTGTTTTTACGGATAGTTTGGAACCAGAGCAGAAGCACCAACATTTACGGAGTAGAGGCAACATAATTATAGGGATCACTTCTCTGTTGTCTGTCCGTTCGTCTGTCTGTCCGTCCATAACACTTTCATATCTGCTTTATAACTTTTAAACTGCTGAAATTGAATGGGTTGCTATCCCAAAGGTCAAGGTCTCACTTAAGGTCAAGTGTTAAAAAGTGTACATTTTGTGTCAACTTCATAACTTTAAATAAACGACTGAATTTTTTTAAAAATAACATGGCACATGAGACAATGTGCAGAGCACATTTGATATAAAAGGGTTGTTACCCCCAAAGTCAAGGTCACATTTAAAGATCAAGTATTAAAACTTAACAATTTGTGTCCGCTTCATAACTTTTAAACCACTGAAACTTTTTTGAAAATTGGAATTGGAAACAGTTGTATTTTAACAAAAGAAAAATATTATCTCTTTCCAAGAGATTTCCACAAAATAGGCACTGTCTTTCCATGTTCAAAGCAAAATAGAATAAATTGATTGGCCATTTTCAGACGGCTTCTGATTGGTTGATGCAGCAAGTCGCATGTATTTCAACACGTCACAGTTTTCAAAATAGGAAAAAAAACATCTGAAACAACATTTATGGTTTAATTTAAAAATTATCTATCAGTCAGTTACATATTACATATACAATCCTTTGTGCTATATACATTTAGATTATAGACATTAAAATAAATATTAAATTTTGTGATTTTTGTGCAGGTCTGTACCCTGACCCAATCTATATCCATCACTTACTTTCGAAATCACTTAACTAGAGCTTACCTATAGTTTTTACACTTTGATTCATGATATTGGGTTGCTGGATCTTTGTTGTGCATTAATATCCACAGAAGCACAAGGGTATTTTTACTTTGCGGAATGGAACGAAATGAAACACAACAAACATTGGAACCCCACACAGGGCACAGCATTTTTTTTACTATCATGTGTTTCCTAAATGAATGGTTCACACTTTTTGCAGTTATTAAATATTTATTATTTATAAAAACGGAAAAACGACAAGAAAAAATATGAGTCGACAATCTAAATATTTTTTCGGCAATATCAGACCTCTTTTATATCAGACACTCCTTATAAATAATTAAACTTCTAAAAAATATTAATAATCATCGTAAATAAATTGAATTTAAAACGTGTTTGTTAAATATGATTTGAAATTACATGCACTAATTAGTCTGAAAACACTATCACAGTCTGTCCATCTATCCTTTATTTTTTAAATATTAACCTATATCGTCCATGTTTTAGACATGGTTGTAAAAAGGCGCTCATTATGAATAAAGTAAACAAAAACGATATATTCAGGATTTTAGGTTTGACACCTTTAACAAAGTTGTCAGAAGGTAAACTATAATTTGTTGAATTATATAAAGTATATATAATGTCACTTTCTTACCTGTTTTAAAAAAATCACATAAAAGTCCTATTTGCAATATGATTTCGCGATGTGTGATAGAATAACTTTGACATGATTTGTAAATTTGTTATATAAAAATGAGTTCTATTAACTGTTTAACTCTTTCTTTTGCTTCTCTTCAAGTATGCTCACTTTTTGATCTGAAATAATATAATGTTAGGAATATCTTCTGACTTCATGATTTATTTAAAATGAATTTTAGCATTCTGTTGGAGAGATAACTCTGACGCATAGATAACCCCGACACTTGATAAATATAAGTTTTATAGCTTTGTTTTTCAACAAAAAAAGCATATGGTCACCTAGTAGTATAGGAGCAGGACAGAATTTGATGATTTTTTGTAGGTTGGTAAACTTTTAAATGTTTTTCAATTAACCGAAACTTTTCGTTGGCAAAACTGCTTCAAAACGTTCCTTTTACTAAATTAAGTCAAGTCAAGTCAAGTAAATTTTATTTATAAGTCGGATACATCAACAATAAACATAAGCTCTGATGAGCTTTTTACACCGACTACAATAATATAAAACACATGTTTAAGATATGATAAATGACGAAAATGGTTATGATAAAATAAGACAAATAGCATTGCATTAACAACATGAGTAGACAAACAACACTATACTAGCATTCATCAGTAGCATACAAACGTAAGAGGTAATACATATTAGATCTAATAAAAAAAAACATTAATATACATACTAAAGGTTAAGATCACACATCACAGCTTATATAAAACACACAAACATTTAAGCAGAGGAACATCAGGCATACATGCACACAATAAAATGCATAGACAAACCAACTTATAAAAAGAGCAAATTATATATAAATAAATAAAACATGGTTAGGACTACAGACTTCCCGAAAGTTAAAAAAAACTGTCAGACATTCGGTCTGACAAACCATGAAAACCTGTCGGACCGAAACGAAATCTGTCAGACCAAATAAAATTGATCAAAATCAAAGAAAAGCTTGTGTTTGTATTTCTAAGACACTTTTTGTTTTTAATTTTTTCACCGTAAAAATCGGCACATTCCGTACAGTGCATTTTGGATTTTTCATCTCCTCCCTGTTATACACCAACGATTCATGGTCCTGCTTCCATTTTTCATTAAATTTTGTCTCAGGCCTATTCTTTTCATCCTTTTATTGCTGTTCTGCGCGCTCCTCTGACGTAGATTTTCGTTTTTCCCAGGTTTGGCAGCTTTAGCGACGCCATTTCCTATACATATGGCTTGGATAAAAGCCGGACATTCGGACCGATCCAGATTAAAAAATCGTCGGACCTGATCAAAAATTATCGGACATGTCCGTCGGACCGACGTATTTCGGGAAGTCTGGGACTAAGCAATAGAATGACAAGGTTAAAATATGCATAATGAACATCAATCCTGACATTAACATACACACAAACATTCAAGTTATACATGTATATAAAAGATGATACATAGCACATAGAAAATAGAAATAAATCTATTACAATAAAAGCACACAAAAGCATAGCACATAAAAATAGAAATAAATCTATCACATTAAAAGCACACAAAAGCAGCTCATATAAGATAATTAGAACAAGCACAGTGATAAAACAAATGCAAAGCAAAAGTAACTAAAAACTTGAAACATCCAGCATGTCGCTGCCAACATTTTGGTTTTTTTCTTTTTTGATGATGTACATGCGTTATGTGGTATTACATGAAGTACAGGAGCAGTTCTCCCCTTGCCAAGTATTTATCAATGATCTAAAATGGTTAAAAGATGAAGTTTGTCTAAAATTATCTGGAAGTTGATTCCAAAGTTTGGCAGCGGCATACCGGAAAGATTTCTTACCATATCTGTCAGTTCTTGGTAAAGGTACCTCAACAATATTGGTGTGTCTAAAATTATATTTCGAATGCTTAAGATGTAGTAAATCATTTAAATAAACAGGAGACATATTATTTAGAATTTTGTATGTTTCTAAAGCAATTGCTCTTAATCTCCTAACTTTCAAAGAAATAAGGCCAGACTTCTCAAGTAGTTGATCATAGTTACTGTTAAAATCATCATAAATAAATCTCAAAGCTCTTTCCTGAATTTTTTCTATTTTCCTAGTGTTTGATTCATTGGTAAAATGCCAAGTAAGAGGACAATAATTAAAGTTTGACATGACAAAAGAGTAGTATATTGTGAGTCTGCTTAACCTATTAAGATGTTTACCAATTCTCTTTAGTACATTCAGTTGTTTAGAGGCTTTCCTACATATATTTGACACATGTGAATTAAAATTTAACATAAAATCTAAGTTTACACCAAGCAGCTTTACTTATGAGGTAGTTAGAAATGTATTGTCCAGAGGTCACTGACTTGGGAAATATTTTTGAAAACTTGTTTTTACATCAACAACAAATAGATAAAACATATGAGATGTAAAAATAAATTAATGATGCTGATTTTCTTGTCATTTTTTACTTAAAGATTTAAGTGTCGACTTTATCTACTGTTGAGGGGTAAAAAGACCATGTTTTGTATACCCCATTCAGGACCTTAAAGAAGTACCAATTCTCAATTCTTCAAAAAAAAAAAAAAAATTCTCATGTTCATACATAATTTTTCAAGTGTAATGTAAAGTCTTTGAACTGAACTTTATTTAGGTGTTTCAATATTTAAAATATACAGGAAGATAATTAAGATATTACAAAAAGTATGTGATTTAGTGTCGGAGTTATCTCTCCGACCAGTATAGATTACTATGCTAGTCATCATCAGAATTGATTGTTAAGCAGCATGATGTAGATGTGATATGAGGACTATGAATTATTTCAATGAAATTGTGTCATTTTTTGCTCGACTATACGAAGTATATGGAGAGCTGTCCTACTCGCCCCGGCGTCGGCGTCCACTTCCAGATTTTAGATTAAAGTTTTGGTGCAGTAAAATATTTTTCACTATAACTTTGTCATTTCTTAAGGTATCAACTTCAAACTTCAAATATATGTTCCTTATCATCAACCACATCTTATGTGACAAGGTTCATAACTCTAGCACCAATATTTTCAGATTTATCTCCCCTTGAACTTAGAATTTTCTTTAAAAAATACTATTTTTTACTGTTACTTCTTTATTTCTTAAGGGATCAACCTCATACTTCAAATATATGTACCTTATCATCATCCCCATCTTATGTGACAAGGTTCATAACTCTAGCACCAATATTTTCAGATTTATCTCCCTTTGAACTTAGAATTTTCCATAAAAAATATTATTTTTTACTGTTACTTATTTATTTCTAAAGGGATCAACTTCATACTTCAAATATATTTACGTTATCATCATCATCCACATCTTATGTGACAAGGTTCATAACTCTAGCACCAATATTGCAAGAATTATCTCCCCATAAACTTAGATTTTTTTACTAGAAAAATGTTATTTTTTATTATAGCTTTTTTTTTTTTAAATTTAAGGTATCTACCCCTAACTTCAAATACTTATTCCTTATCATCAATTACATTTTATGTGACAATGTTCATAACTCTTGAAGCAATATTTACAGATTTATCTCTCTTTGAACTTAGGATTTTCTTTAAGAAATATAATAACTTCTTTACTTTTTCAAACTTCAAATATATATTTCTTATCATTACACAAATGTTGTGTGGCAAGGTGCATAACTCTAGCATGACTATTTCTAGAATTATTCCCCTTGATCTTGGAATTTATGTTAACAAATGTTATTTTTTTACTATAACTTCTTAATACATAATTATACATAATTGATTTTTCTTTCATAGTTTTGTCCTCCTTACTGCGTCCAGTATTTTATTAGTCGAGCTTCGCTGTCTCCTGTGACAGCGCTTGTTTTCCATCTACTGACAGTAATTTTGTATTTTAGTATACATATGTCCAGTTTGTGAATGTTAAGGGAGCTGGGATTTTCAAATATGTACTGAGAATAAATTATGTAAATGTATTATAGTTTTGCATGTCAGTAGCAGTGTACCTGTCTATTCTAGGAGTGGGGATGGGGGGATTCACTCATATTTTTTAGTATTCCCCCTTATTTTTTCAGAGGCAGGGGGAGGGGGGATATTTACATAGAGAAAGAAGGAAAAAAATCAACTACATTTATAAGTTCTCACCTATCAATAAAAGTCCACCGTTTTTCGAATCCTTAGACCTAGAATAGACACTGCAGTAGTTGAAATCATGGAAATGCCAGTTGACTACCTCATATTGCCAAATAAACATTTGATCACTTGCAAAAATCTGCAAGTAGAAAATCTTGCTAAATTCTAACCCTGGACATGTACATTGTAGTTGACAATTAAAAATCACCTACTTACTGATCCTTTATTTATGGGACTGTGATCAGAAACAAGCCTTTATTTTTTGAACTTGTAATTTTTAATATGTTATTACAAATTGCAGAATGGGTGACATCTGTATTTGACTCAAACTTCGTAGATGCTGAAGATATTGATGAAGAAGTATTTCAAGATACAGATCATAGTACGCTGGTTGATGCATTAAAGAGTCTTTTACCATGTCTTGACCTCTGGATTGAAAACGAATCAGAGGAATGTAAGTATTTTTCTGTCTGAAAGAGTAAACCCTGTAATCAGGGTGTTTGGTTTACAGAATTTATTTTAGTTAGATTGTGTAGGAAGCTATAAGCTTATAGACACATTTTCGAATCTGTTCCTTGAACCAACCTGAACCAGTACTGCGTAATGAGTGTAAAGTTTCTAGCTCATGGAAACAATGACCTGCCCCTGATGGGGTATGAACCCGTGCAGCTAGCAATCATTATATTACTAGTCCGACATGTAAACCGCTTGGCCATGCCGCCACAACCTGGAGTCAAAGCAGGGTGTTTTAAGGCATATTTAACAGCCTATATATATTCATATTGTCTATTTTAAAGCTTTTTTTTCAATATTCTTAACAAAATTTCCCAATTCAAACAGTTGTGCTTAAGATGTATACTGTTTTTCTCTAGGCTTTTTCTTATTAGAAGAGAAAATGTCATTATTTAATGCTTTATATTACCTGTATGACAGTATCTAATATAAGTCATTTAAACCATGAATTTAAAGAACAATTTTACATAACTCATATTTATCATTATGCTCAATAAATGCAGTTTTATAATTTAAGGTTTGTGGGTATCATATTTATCATTATGCTCAATAAATGCAGTTTTATAATTTAAGGTTTGTGGGTATGCCTGACTGAGAATGATATATCATTGAAGGCAATTGTAGTGTTTTTGGCTCACCTGATTATTGTTGGTCACAAGGTAACTATAAACTCTTGTAATATTTGTTGTTTTCTTGCATTTAGACCTCTTGATATTAAATAGTTATTATTCATTATAAAATGATAATTTTTGTATTGAATGTATGGTCCACCTGCTAATATCTCAAAGGGGATAGCATTGGATTTGTAAACGGCGGGTCACTCAGTGGTGAGATCCTTTGGCAAAACGATACAGTTTACCAGTTAATTAGAATCTATATACAGTGAAGTTAATATCAATTATGGATCTCAGAGAACATTAACTCTTAAATAACTCTTGCATGGATTTTTAGCTCACCTTGCACAAAGTGCAGGTGAGCTTTTAGGATGGCCAACCAAATGGCGTCCGTCGTCAGTCGTCCGTCAACATTTTAAATATTCTAAGGACATCTTCTATGATACCGCAAGGCCAATGTTAATGAAACTTGGCAGGAATACTCTTTGTATGAAGCTCTATCAAGATTGTTCAAAGAATTCCATTTCATGCAGAACTCTGGTTGCCATGGCAACCGAAAGAAAAATCTTTAAATATCTTCTTTTAAAGAACCGTAAGAGCTAGAGCTTAGATATTTGGCATGAAACATCTTCTAATGAGTGTCTACCAAGTTTGTTCAAATAAAAGCCCTAGGGTCAAAATTGGCCCGGCCCCAGGGGGTCATTGATTTTCCCTATATGCATATAGTAAAAACTTAAAAAATCTTCTTTTAAAGAACCCAAAGAGCTAGAGCTAAGATATTTGGCATGAAACATCTTCTAGTGAGTGTCTACCAAGTTTGTTCAAATAAAAGCCCTGGGGTCAAAATTGGCCCCGGCCCGGGGGGTCATTGATTTTCCCTATATGCATAAAGTAAAAACTTAAAAAATCTTCTTTTAAAGAACTGTAAAAGCTAGAGCTTAGATATTTGGCATGAAACATCTTCTAGTGAATGTCTACCAAGTTTGTTCAAATAAAAGCCCTGGGGTCAAAATTGGCCCCGCCCCAGGGGGTCATTGATTTTCCCTATATGCATATAGTAAAAACTTAAAAAATCTTCTTTTAAAGAACCCAAAGAGCTAGAGCTAAGATATTTAGCATGAAACATCTTCTAATGAGTGTCTACCAAGTTTGTTCAAATAAAAGCCCTGGGGTCAAAATTGGCCCTGCCCCAGGGGGTCATTGATTTTCCCTATATGCATATAGTAAAAACTTAAAAAATATTCTTTTAAAGAACCCAAAGAGCTAGAGCTTAGATATTTGGCATGAAACATCTTCTAATGAGTGTCTACCAAGTTTGTTCAAATAAAAGCCCTGGGGTCAAAATTGGCCCCGCCCCAGGGGGTCATTGATTTTCCCTATATGCATATAGTAAAAACTTAAAAAATCTTCTTTTAAAGAACCCAAAGAGCTAGAGCTAAGATATTTAGCATGAAACATCTTCTAATGAGTGTCTACCAAGTTTGTTCAAATAAAAGCCCTGGGGTCAAAATTGGCCCTGCCCCAGGGGGTCATTGATTTTCCCAATATGCATATAGTAAAAACTTAAAAAATCTTCTTTTAAAGAACTCAAAGAGCTAGAGCTAAGATATTTAGCATCAAACATGTTCTAATGGGTGTCTACCAAGTATGTTCAAATAAAAGCCCTGGGGTCAAAACTGGCCCCGCCCCGGGGGTCATTGATTTTCCTTATATGTGTATAGCAAAAACTTAAAAATCTTCGTTGAAAAATCCCAAATAGTTTGAGTTTAGATGTTATACATGAAACATTTTTAAGTAAATATCTACAAAGTTTGTTCAAATAAAAGCCCGGGGGTCAAAACTGGCCCTGCCCCAGAGGTGTCATTGTTTTTAACTATATGTGTGTATTAAAAACTTAAAAAATCTTCTTTTAAAAAACCCAATGAGCTAGAACTTAGATGTTTAGCATGAAACATCTTCTTATGGGTGTCTACCAAGTCTGTTCAAATAAAAGCCCTTGGGTAAAAATTGGCCCGGGGGGGGGGGCTATATACATGTGAGCGACCTCAGGGCCATCATGGCCCTCTTGTTACAATTACAGTTTGTCTTTACACTAAAAGTTAAAAAACATAGTTTGGTTTTATAGAAAAAGTGTACTTGCATTTACAGAAATCAGCAGATGTATCACAGAAAGAGTTGGGTATCCTAGCAGGACGTACATATTGTAAACTGTCACAAGTACAGGGAAGCTGGTCCTACTTCATATTTCAACTTGAAGTCTATCAGAAAACTATAGATTACCTCAAACAGTTTATTGTCCTTGGTAACCAATTTATTATTTTATAATATTGGCTATGTATTTCCATATTAATATTTTTATATTATTGATGTAACTGATATCATAATTTTATAAAATAAATGTTGATTTTTTAGTTTGATAGATCAGTAATGAAACAGTCGCATATAATTGACAAATATTTCCACATGTGAAATGCTTATAATTATATGCATTGCCTTTTTGTAAATATATAAGCTCAGGGCTCGACATTAACGGTTGTCCGACTGCCCGGGACAACTAAAAGTTTGGTCCGTGCTAGTTATTTTGCAAAGCACTTGTCCGACAGGGCAAGTGAAAATAAAGAACGCCATTGACAAAATGCATGAACAAAATTAATAGAAACAAACATCTTTTCATTTATAGACATCTGTAAAACAAAAAAAAACCATGAATCATTATCAATACTGTGAATACACTACCGTCATGTATATTTGTTGATATAGGAAACGGAAGCAAAAATATGAGCATGCGCCGCGGTAAGGTAATTCCCCGTTCTAATAATAGACTATATTTTATTTTGTACAAGGTAATTTCCAGTCATGCTGTCGTTTTGATGCGTGCATGTTAAGATATCATTAAAAATATGTAAATAATCGTATTGATCTTTAAATATAATTGTTAAATAAAGATTTTGCATTAAAAATGATTTATTTTTTAGCTCACCTGTCACAAAGTGACAGGGTGAGCTTTTGTGATCGCTTTTCGTCCGGCGTCCGTCCGTCGTCCGTCCGTAAACTTTTGCTTTAAATGACATCTCCTCATAAACCACTGAGCCAATTTCATCCAAACTTCACAGGAATGTTCCTTTGGTGGTCACCTTTAAAAATTGTTCAAAGAATTTAATTCTATGCAGAACTCTGGTTGCCATGGCAACCGAAAGAAAAATCTTTAAATATCTTCTTTTAAACAACCCAAAGAGCTAGAGCTTAGATATTTGGCATGAAACATCTTCTAGTAAGCGTCTACCAAGTTTGTTAAAATAAAAGCCCTGGGGTCAAAATTGGCCCCGCCCCAGGGGGTCATTGATTTTCCCTATATGCATATAGTAAAAACTTAAAAAATCTTCTTTTAAAGAACCATAAGAGCTAGAGCTTAGATATTTGGCATGAAACATCTTCTAGTGAGTGTCTACCAAGTTTGTTCAAATAAAAGCCCTGGGGTCAAAATTGGCCCCGCCCCAGGGGGTCATTGATTTTCCCTATATGCATATAGTAAAAACTTAAAAAATCTTCTTTTAAAGAACCCAAAGAGCTTGAGCTAAGATATTAAGCATGAAACATCTTGTAGTGAGTGTCTACCAAGTTTGTTCAAATTAAAGCCCTGGGGTCAAAATTGGCCCCACCCCGGGGGGTCATTGATTTTCCCTATATGCATATAGTAAAAACTTAAAAAATCTTCTTTTAAAGAACCCAAAGAGCTAGAGCTTAGATATTTGGCATGAAACATCTTCTAGTGAATGTCTATCAAGTTTGTTCAAATTAAAACCCTTGGGTAAAAATTGACCCCGCTCCAGGGGGTCATTGATTTTCCCTATATGCATATAGTAAAAACTTAAAAAATCTTCTTTTAAAGAACCCAAAGAGCTAGAGCTAAGATATTTGGCATGAAACATCTTCTAGTGAATGTCTACCAAGTTTGTTCAAATAAAAGCCCTGGGGTCAAAATTGGCCCCGCCCCAGGGGGTCATTGATTTTCCCTATATGCATATAGTAAAAACTTAAAAAATCTTCTTTTAAAGAACCCAAAGAGCTAGAGCTAAGATATTTGGCATGAAACATCTTCTAGTGAATGTCTACCAAGTTTGTTCAAATGAAAGCCCTTGGGTCAAAATTGACCCCGCCCCAGGGGGTCATAGATTTTCCCTATATGCATGTAGTAAAAACTTAAAAAATCTTCTTTTAAAGAACCCAAAGAGCTAGAGCTAAGATATTTAGCATGAAACATCTTCTTATAAGTGTCTACCAAGTTTGTTCAAATAAAAGCCCTGGGGTCAAAATTGGCCCCGCCCCAGGGGGTCATTGATTTTTTTCTATATGCATATAGTATAAACTTAAAAAATCTTCTTTTAAAGAACTCAAAGAGCTGAGAGCTAAGATATTTAGCATGAAACATGTTCTAATTGGTGTCTACCAAGTATGTTCAAATAAAAGCCCTGGGGTCAAAACTGGCCCCGCCGGGTGGGGGGGGGTCATTGATTTTCCTTATATGTGTATAGCAAAAACTTAAAAAAATCTTCTTTGAAAAAACCAAAATAGCTAGAGTTTAGATATTAAGCATGAAACATCTTTAAGTAAATATCTACAAAGTTTGTTCAAATAAAAGCCTGTGGGTCAAAACTGGCCCTGCCCCAGGGGTGTCATTGTTTTTAACTATATGTGTATAGTAAAAACTTTAAAAATCTTCTTTTAAAAAACCCAATGAGCTAGAAATTAGAGTTTAGCATGAAACATCTTCTTATGGGTGTCTACCAAGTCTGTTCAAATAAACAAATAAAAGCCCTTGGGTAAAAAAAAATTGGCCCGGGGGTGGGGGGGGGGGCCTATATACAGGTGAGCGACCTCAGGGCCATTATGGCCCTCTTGTTTATCTAATACAATGTAACATAGTCAATGAAAACTCGTTTACGGCTGTTGACATCAATTCGTCGTCTGTAAAATATAAAAAATAAAATGTCCTTATTCAAATTTGGGTTTTCATCGTCTAAAGACGACAATGGTGGGACAGGGAAGGAAAAAAATTACATTACCTAATACAAGAAGTATTAATGTATGAGCTTGTTTGTCTTTTCTGATTTATACATTTTTACCATTTTTAGGTCAGGACAAGTAAGTCTTAGGTCAGGGCAAGTAGTTTTGAAAACTACTTGCCCGACAGGACAACCTGATTCAAAAGAAAATGTCTAGGCCTGAAGCTGAAGACTTTCCAAACTGTTTAACAATTCCTAATTTAATCTTGAAATTTCCAAAATATGCATAGAGTTTCTCCAACCAGCCCAGCATCCTGCACATACATAGTATATAACTTTTTATGAAAAACTTCATTTATTACCATATTACATATAAAGTTAATGTTTAAATAGATTTGTTGAATACTTGCAATATTTCTAATTGTTACCAGGCTAAATTTCCTTATGTAAAAAGTAGGGGTTGGTAAAAACAAGTCAAATAATCACTGATGTGATTATAAGTTATAACCGAATGAAACTAGATAAAATGTAACTAAATGAAACTAGACAAAATGTAACAAATGAAACTAGACAAAATGAATCGAAATGAAACTAGATAAAATGTAACCAAATGGAAAGTGATGCAATGCAATATCTCATTAATGATAATAACATGTGTAATATTTTGTAAAACATTTGTACTTTAAATAAGCTACTGGATTTAATATTTGATGCTCAATCACAGCACACAGAACAAAACATTATCTTAATAAAATATTTTCTTTTATCCTGACTGTGGTCTCATCTGTAATGTTATCTGCTTTGGTATTGTTGTCATTTGATCTTAACATTTAGTGGTGTCAACCATTCTGTCAGTTCAGTTGTCAACATTTCATGTTCATCTGTTTCCAAGAAAAAGTCAAGCAATAATGATAGCTGTGTCATTGTTGTCGTGTAAAAATTTTAATGTAGCCCATGATTCAAATATTTTAAGTTATCAACTTGAAACTTTGAATACTTGTTTATCTTGACAAGGTGCAGTTGTTAGACTGGGGCATAATTCTGAAAACTTTATTTTGGGAGTTATGTCCCATTTGTAACTTAGTATTTTTCACAAAGTGGTTATTTTAAGAGATTAGCATTAACATCACGTGAGTATTTCAAACATTTGGAATAATCAAGTGATTTATGTTAAGACGAAAAGGTGACTATGGTTACATTCTTATTTTTATAAATAATTGATTACAACCCAATTTCTAGCTATGGAAAATTGATTTCTTTTGTAGCATTTCAAAACAACACGCTTCCTCTGGCCACATAGCTATATTTAAATGTACTAAAAAGAAATAAAGATTAAGAAGATGTAAATTATTCTTTGTAATGGATGAAAATGTAAACAAATTCCATTATGTAAAACAATATGGGGGAAATCTTGGGGGATCAACTTCAAGGGCCAGTGAATCTTGTGCAAAGGATTTGGGTCAGGATTTGAAAATTTTCTATTTTTGGAGCTTCTCATCCCGCTCAGAGATCGAAAATTTCATTTGTCCGCTGGTAATTATGAGTAGAATATAAGTGAACTCGATGCAGGATGAGTAGAAAAAAGTTGCCTGCATATTGGATTTAGAAGCTACTCATCCAGCAAGACGAGTGACTCTGAAAATTTCAATGCCTGCCTCTGTAATAAAAGTCTCTCCTCAAGCTTGAGCAGTGCATCAGCCTGCAGTACTGTTTGTCTATCCTTGTTTAGGATGAAGATTAGGAAGTGTAATTAACTTTAATACCACAATGTTCGTTTTTTTTTATATCAGGTTCATCCAAGTCAACTAAGAGGAAGAGAAAGAGTTTAACTCCTGCTAAAGGAAAGAGAAGTTCAAAATCTAGACACAAACAGAAAAGTACTGACACATCAATTGAGGTAATGAGTGTTTACCTATTGTTGTAACTGTGAATTCGTTTGATATTTTGGGTCAAATTTTTAATACCTTATAAATGTTTTTTTGCTGGGGTGACTTTATTTCTGCATATTCTGCGGTAAGTTTCAGTACAGCAGAAATAAAAAGCGCAGAATATATTTCTCCATGTTTTAGATTTTAACCTGTTACGATATGAGTCCTACATTACCTGTGCCTTCCAAAGTAATAACGAATAACAGATAATAACGGTTGACAGGTCATTGAGCTGTATAAAACTGCTGTTGGCTTAGTATGTAATCTGTGTTTGTAAGGATGCACTTTTGTTAATTATGTCAATTTATGAGTAAAGATATTTTTCACATGTCATTTCACACTTCCAATGAATACTTTTCTATTGTGATATATTCCCACAAAATGCACTTACTGCTTACAGCCCATAGATTAAAGTGTCATGAAGGCTGTAAAATTGAGCCTAAAGCTTGACTTTATTGTAGTTCCATCATGACCACAGTGTAATTGTATGATGAGTCGGAGAATTTAAATTATGTTTTGTCTATTATAAAGAATGTGCTGCAGAAATAAAAATATTACAAAATTTTGAAAAGTTGGAGTCAGAGGCTTGCATAATATGATTTTATTCAACTTGTTCAGTAAATTTAGTTTTAAACATACACTCATTTAATATCTTCTATGACTATATATTACAGATGATTTTAAATCATTTTGAACTATATTATGTCAGGATTTTGATGGCAGTCTGGATGCAGACAGCAGAGATGACGATAATGAATTGGCTCCGCAAGAAATTGCCAGTCTCCGGAAAAATCTACATGCTCTCCTTGTTGTAAGATATTACATCTTTTTTTGTCCAATTTTTGTTCAAAGCAACTGTAATTTAAAAACAAAAGTGAAAGATTATGCTTGAAGCCTTGAACAAGAGTTAATTCACTAACAGATTTATTTTACAATTGGACAAAATTGAGATCAATTATTTGTAAAATTTAATGCCTAAATGCAGTACACAATATAACATCAAATGAATTTGAAATCAAGTTTGTGTAGCAGTTCAGATCTAAAAAAAAAAAGCTTTGGATATTACAATTCCAGTACTATTTTGATATTATGAACAATATTGTTTAAATGTTCTGTTAAAAAAAGCACTGTCTGTACATTATTTTACATTCTGTTATTTGAAGATTTTCATAACATGTTTAATAGTAAATTTTCATGTAGCTGCTCATTTTAAGATGTTTTTTTTTACTAAAAGATATATAGCTTGGATGATAAATTCCAGAAAGACACTACATGTACTCTGGAAAGTGAAAAAGATCATAAATAACTATCTTTTGCACAAAGTTTTTCAATCTACAGTTTAAACTTTACATATAACCTATGTTATCTATTACATCTTTCAGGATGTTGTTGCCTTCCTTGAGAAGTTTTCACTACGTCAGGCAGTGTCCATGGCATACTACAGTGTGGAGATTATTACCCCTTTGACAAGACACGAGACAGAAACGTTTGATGGAAATTTTGATTCTAGGTATTTTATCTGTTTTTTTATGGTCCTGTTTTATTGAATACATGTATCTGCTAATACAATGAAGAGTGTTGAAAAATATTTTACAGCTACAATTGTAATGTATTTTAATTAGGAACAGTGCAATCATTGATTACATATTATAAATCACATATCCTACTATAGTTTATACAAATATTTTTCAGTGTGTCAAGGTCACGGCAGTCCATTCCAGCGCTAGCATATAAGGTGAGTTATTTTCTTATTTAAAGTAGGACACATTACAGAAAGGCTTTTGTGGCGGAGTGGTTAAGGTCATTGACTTCAAACCACTTGCCCATCACCCGTGTGTTTGAATACTGATAGACTTTCAATTCTTTCATGTGAGGAAGCTATCCAACTAGCAAAGGTGCCACTTTTTGCCTGAAATAATGCATGGAAGGGCACCTGATGTCTTCCTCCACCAGGAAAGCTTGAAAGTCGCCATATAACTTATACTGTGTTGGTGCAATTTAAAACCAAAAAGAAAAGAAAGAATGTAATAATTTTTTAAAAATTATTTCATCCTCTTTTTATTATAGGGTTAACGCACGTTTTTCAGTGTTATAACGTCGCAGAGTCCCGAGGAATGGTTGGTGCCCTACATGTAGCTTGGTAAAGCGACGGCTAGGCTCTAACAGTTCCAAGGGACTCTGCAGACATTATTACATGGAAAAAAAATGTGCGTTGACACTATTATAGCATACAATTTTATACCACATTGATATAGGCCTATTTAATACAGAATAAATACATAAAATCCCGAGGGAAAACGGTTCGCACTTGGACAGTATTTATCCAATTCACGTTGTTTTGGCAGCATGTTTTACGTGTGCGTTTAATTTTTACAGGGCCAACAACTTACATATCAAATACAAATCAAATGTTCAGAGCCAAACAAAATGTTGAATTTTAATTAATTTAACAAAGCTTTATTAATAAAGAAAGAACTCTATCCAAGACAAGGTATGACAGGAGAGAGTTTCTTATAAGTTTTAAGCTTTCTACTCAATCCTGAATGCAATTTATATATTGTAATTTTGTCTGTAAATATTGATGAAGAAATAAATATTGTTTAAACCAAAGTATGACCCTCAGAAATTCGAATTCGAGGGTAAACGATTGGGGACATTTAGTACTAGATTTGTGACTTGACATCAGAACCGTTTTTGAAAGCACAAGTTCATACAAAACTGGCACTGAACGTTATTCTCGCAAAGAAGTACTAGTATAAAGTGTATTTATCAAAGTAAACAACAAGAAAACAACATTTTCTCATATTAATTTTGTGTTATCTTGTTTTCTAAGTTAATTGGAGGGTTAAACTGAATGACAGGTATTTGTTTACCTTGACAACTGTCTGTTAGAAAGGACAACAACCAAGATTAGCGGCGATGTCTATATGCCGTATTTCCGGCATGGGTACTTGAATGCTGTTCGCCTTTATGCTAGTGAGGCCCTTGATTCAATATAACAAGAGCGCATGACTCTGGCAAATAGGCCAAATTGTCATTTTTTGTTTGTTTACTGGGTCCTGTATGTATTGTGCATAGGTAAAAACGGGCTATAACAGGAGCGTGTGTCTTTGTTAACACATGGTTTTGGCCCCGTTAAAACATGGGCAAAAGAGGGAAAAATAGCTGTTTTTATGCTATAATGTGGCATAAAGGACATTTGTGTTGAGAAGATAATATTAACTTTATAACTTTATTATCTGTAACGTTTGCCTTACATATCAAAATACATGTACATGTAACTTGAGGCAATGTATAAATATGTGAGTACAAGAATTCATATAGTGTTTAAATATTTGTTTAATGTATATAAATAAATCAAATACATGTACATGTAAATGATTTCTCTGAATGAATAATGGTTTGTGTGATCAATCTTTCTAAAATAAAATATTAAAAAAAAAATCTCCCTCCATGAAATTTATATGATCTACAGTGTCTTTTATTGTGCCATAATGGAAATAATCTATAATATTGTTCATCTTTGTAACCCTGAAAACTTTTCTTTGTTTTGAAGATGGAATTTAAGTGACTTTTAATTTTCCAAAGTTTCTCTAATATGATAAATGCTAAGTTAAGCTCAGCATAGTGTTTTCATATGTTCCAAGGTAGTTCAATAATTCCTGTTTCTTCAATTGTGTCAGAGTTTTTCTTAGTATAAACAGTTTATGTTCATCACCAGTCGTGTCTTTCATCTTCCATTTCTCCAGCATCATCACCGCGGCAACTGTATTGTCTGTCGTCTGCTTTTCAATCTGCTGTATTTCAGTACGATTTAGTTTTAAATATTTAGCAACATTTTTCCAGTCGTTTTCAATCCCATGTCCAATTGTTTGTATGACTTCATCTGTTATGAGATAACCCATTCTTATACCTCACAGCTTGCAAATGTTAAAACATTTTTTTAAAAATGAAATAAATTATGCAAGACACTGATGTACTTTTGTGATTATTCACTTGTCTTTTTCTTCTTGTTTCTCCTGAAATTTAATAAACACAATTTATCACACACCCGTGCCGATTTTGCGACTCCGTATATATGGTATTGCACGGCCGTGCATATATTTTGACGTGACGTCATTAGCGTAATACAAACATAGTGTAAAGACGCGCTAAATGTTAGCGTTATACTATAGGCGCGTCAATGAAAAATGACTCTTATTTCACTTTAAATGGTCTTTACTTTGGGTATGTGATAAATAGAATATTAAATTCGTGTAAGTTCATTACTGAATTTATTGCACTCGTTGAATAAAATAATATTATGCTCGCCAGAGGCTCGCATAATATAATTTTATTCAACTCGTGTAATAAATTCAGTATTGAACTTACACTCATTCAATATCCTCTATTTAATGAATATAGTCAGGTGAGCCTACACACCTGTGTCTTTCAACTATCATCTGCTCAATATCTGTGCTTTGATAATCCATATTAGAAAGTTTCAGTTAACTTAATGACAAGTCAGTCACATCAAATCTTGACCTTGAACCACTTGCTCCCATTAATGTGAGTTTGACTCCAAAAACAGACAATTTCTGTGATAATAGTAAATCATTTACTTAAAATCTGGACAGCTATTATTCAAGATGTCAGTGATTTTCTTGCTTATATAACAGACTCCGATAAAAGGCCTTTTCCAAATTTAAATTTTCTTTAAAATCATGCAGTTTTTCCAAAAATCTGAACTTAAACCTACATTTTTACTTCCAAAATTAGCAAATTTAGTGATAATTTTTCCCAAAATCAAGAGGCTAAGGCCTCTTCCAAATTAAGTGAGAAAAATCACTGGATGTCATTTTAAGCTTGTTTATTTTGAAGAAAATGTTGAGCTATTCTGATCATTGTGTTGTCATGGTTGCCGTTGCTGTGCAAAAACTTTAGTGTAGAATTTTCAAGGTATCATCATGAAACTTGGAATTCTTAATTATAAGTTCTTCATGATAAGATACAGTTGTTAGACAAGGGGCATAATTCTGAAATTAATATTTTATGGATTATGGCCCTTTTTAATTTACAATTTTTGTCAAAATTGCATATTAAGTAGAATGATCACAGTGAATTCATTATTACAGCTAGTTCTCAAGTTTTATTGTTTTTATTTCCACTAATTATTTTCATTCAAACACTTATAATTAAAATAGAACTCGAAAAGGTTAAAAAAAAACATTATAAAATTTAATATAAATACCTTTTTTTCATAAAGTTTGAACATTAATTAAATCCTTCCTATCTGAAAATTTCACAATTTTATAACAGTTTTCAGCTCAGTGTCTACCTTAAGTATTAAGTCCATAATAGTGTTATAAAACATTCCTGTAACATAAGATGGATAAATTCCTCCAATTAAACTTCAATAATGTTTTCAGTAATTGGTATTTAAAATGTTGACAGATTTTCTTTTCATGTTGTTTAATAGTATCTGTTTATAATCACAACACAAGCAATGTTTCCCCACCCGGTATCATTTTCAAAATGGAATATTAATTGACAAACCACCTGTAATTTTATACCATTGCATTTCTGGTCTGAAGATTTCAGTCATTGATAGTGGATTGCTTCACTAGTAAAACTGAAAATTGATATTTTTAAATGAATTAATATTTGAATTAATTATTCTTGATTTTTACCCAATAATTGCTGAACAGTATCAAATTACCTACATTGTTCTATATTGTATCACTAAACATTTTGAGTAAATTGAAAAAAAAACCACATGAACTTTAATAAAAACTTGCCATTACTAATTAATGTAAATGTAGAGCTTGAAATATCGCAAGCTATACTGCTCTACAAATGAATCTGTACATTTCCACCTTCTGTAAATTTTTTGATATATCAGTGTTGTTATTTGTTTTAAAAGTTGTATTACATTTAAAGTTTGTTTTATCATATATCCATTAATATTCCTTGTGTATCATGCTCTGTCAGTTTATAATGGAGAACTGAAATAATTAAGATGCCTAAAAACTGTCATTGATTCAAGGCAAGGCATATCAATGATATATATCGATATCTGGTGACAAATATCAATGATACACCAATATATCGATAATTACCTAAAATTACTTGACTTTCATTCACTTTCATACTTTAAAGTTTTCAGTTGAAAACATGTTTTTTTCAGTGTCTTGTTTATAAATACCCATTGCATGATTTTTTTCATCCAGACCATTTTTTGCCATCATTGCTTTGAAATATTTCCACTATGTAACAACAGATAATGTTAGACATGGACACTTGTTTCTCTATATGTTTTGGGTGAATGTTCCTAATTTCTAGATATTTAATATATAAAGTCAAAATTATTTTTTGATTTTTGAAATGTGTATCGATTATTGATCAACAGAAAAATATCAACAATACATTGATATTGTCTCTAACAATGACAGCTCTTCATACATGTTCTTTACAGTATTGGTTCTCTGTGACAAGTTGTAATGAAAAATCTAAGCTAAATTTAGATATGAATATTAACTTTTTCGGTAGTATTTCTGTTCAGTGTAGTAACTAGCACTAGTCTTGTTCTATTTGTACAATTAAATGTTTACTTAAATACTTATTTTTAGTGAAGATTTAAATCCTTAAATATTTAAACTACATGTTTGTCCACCTTATAAAAGCAGAAAAAAGAATATATAGGTGTTATTTATTTTAAATGTTTTCATTGTATAGATTGCTGAAATACAAATTAATGAATTTTTTTTTGAATTTTTTTTTACCCTTGAGGTTTCAGGGTCAGACATAATACACATGTATTAGATTTAAGGCATAGTTGTGGTACATATATTTAAATCACTTTTAAAGCCAATTTAATCAAAACTGTTGCTAATAGTATTTTAACATTTTAAGTATGGGTTAAAGTTTATTAGTACATATTTACAAAATTAAATTGGTCAGGCGCGGTACAACCGGCTTAGTGTTTTAAATTTTTTTTTTTATAACCAGTCGATTTACTAGACTGATTAACAGTTTGCTGATTAACCAATTGAAAGTAAATGTGTTACGATTCATTTGAAATACTGCAGTCCTATTGGACAAAAAAATAATTTCAAACACTAAGTGAAATTACTACATTGTTTAAGATGATAAAAAGAAAATTGCTAGTCATAAAAAAAGGGGTTGACTGCACATGATGATTTAAATATAAATATACATCAAGAATTGTATTCATAGTCAAGACAAATTGGTTAAAGGACATGCATGCGACAAATAATTTATTGTAAAACAATTTAAGGTGCTTTTCACGTAATGTGCATTACCTCCCCTTGTCATTCAACATTATTATATTCTTTAAAGATTAGAAAAAAATCTAACATTTTTAAACTAATATTTTTTTAGATATTCGTTCTCTCTTTTCAATTATATGTAATGAATAATGTCCCCCAAATGACTGCCACTATTGTCAAGCAAGTTTTATATTATCAAAAAATTCAGAACATAATTATTGTATTACATAAATATGATAAAGATTTGCATTATAATAATAGAATAATTAAAGGTTTGTTAAATTTCCAGAATTTTCTTATGGTACCATGATCAAGCTAAAATCTACCAATTTTAAAGGCTTATGTTGTTGCCAAAAAAAATAATTTATAAATATGTGCGTAATAATATGTAATTGGGGATTGTGCCTCAGTATAGATGAGGGGCCTCCGTGGCCGAGTGGTTAAGGTCGCTGACTTGAGATCACAGGTCCCTCACCGCTGTAGGTTCGATCCTCACTCGGGTCGAAATCTTTCATGTGAGGAAGCCATCCAGCTGGCTTACGGAAGGTCGGTGGTTCTACCCAGGTTCCCGCTCGTGCCTGAAATAATGCCCGGAGGGGCACCTGGGGTCTTCCTCCACCAATAAAAGCTGGAAAAAATCGACGAAAAAATCTCGGCGGGACGCTCTAGGATGGCCCGACTTGAGTGTACGGTCGCCCATATGGGCTTTCCGGCGGCGACCTTAAATAAACGCATTAAAAAAAACAACAACAAAAAACTCAGTATAGAATTGTTCACTGATAGGAAACAGACAGGTAGCTATTAGTGGTGTCCTTAGGGTTCAGTTCCAGCATGATAGCACATTCTTTTCACCCTGTGATAGTTATGTTTTTTATGCCCCCACAATGTGGGAGCATATAGCGTTGCACTTGTCCGTCCGTCCGTCAATCCGTCAGTCAGTCAGTCTGTCCGTCCGTCAGTCCGTCCGTCCGTACGTCCCGAAATCTTGTGAACGCAACTCCTCTTAAACCGGATAGCAGATTTTGCTTAAACTTACAGGGATGATCAACCTTAATGTGTAGATGGTAGTAAAGGAAGGAATTTTCGCTGCGACCAAATTTAACAGAATTATGGCCCTTTGTTGATTTTTTCACTAGATACTATGTAGAAATTTTGTGAACGCAACTCCTCTTAAACCGGATGGCAGATTTTGTTTAAACTTACAGGGATGAACAACCTTAATGTGTAGATGGTAGTAAAGGAAGGAATTTTAGCTGCGACCAAATTTAACAGAATTATGGCCCTTTGTTGATTTTTTTACTATATACTATGTGGAAATTTTGTGAACGCAATTCCTCTTAAACCGGATGGCAGATTTTGCTTAAACTTCCAGGGATTAACAAACTTAATGTGTAGATGGTAGTAAAGGAAGGAATTTTTGCTGCAACCAAATTTAACAGAATTATGGCCCTTTGTTGATTTTTAGATTTCAACTTGTGGCACATGTAGTCCAAAAAATATTGGACCTAGAGTCTTAAGATTGACAGAACAGTGGTGTGTGGGGGCATCCGTGTCCTATGGACACATTTCTAGTTATACTTAAAAGTTTATAAATGTAAATGTTTATAAATGAGAAGATTTGTGTTTGTGTAGCTACAGTGTTTATGGTTATTTTAACAATTTGCATTTCAGTGTCTACAAGCCTTGTGTGGTCAACACCATGGTCATGTCAGATCAATCATTAACTCTGTAAGTTGTCATTTGATGTTTTATTTATTAACTATGTCTATTGGAATAAATGTGGTCAATGATTGAAGTTTCATCTTTGAAATATTGTAATTTATTTTTATTATTTTTTATATGCTTCTTAAAAATTCACATTTATAGTAATCGTGCTGTATTTTCAACAAATATTACAATTATCTCATTAGATTATGTTATTTTTTATTTTATTTTTTTTTTTGGGGGGGGGGGGGGGGGGTTGAAACTATATTTATTGCGTAAAATGTCTCAAAATTAAGTGTTTAAATTCTCAAATCAGGCTTATAATAGCTCAATAAATGTAAATTTTAGATTAAATTCTGATCTATCTTTCATATTGTCTTTTATATATTTTTCTGTTTTAAGTGCCTGTGTTGATAATGTAAGAATTTCAAATTTTATGTTCACTATGTTTTATTTGTATGATGTTTTCAGGTTTTTAAGCACCTGATGCCAAATTTAGTTATGTTGGTAGATATGAAACCTGTTCAAACAGTAACAAAACAAATCACAGTGACACAGGACCATGCAGCCAACTTTGTCTGGTAAAGTTTTCCCTAATTCTTAAAGCTAGTTCTATCAGTTCTATCTGGTACAGTATAGTACAGTTTCCTATATACATTTGTAGCTGGCAATTTTACAATGAGAAGGTCATTCAGGACCAATATTGTCTTTTGAATTCTCTACATGATAGACTAATTTTGCTTTCAATGTAGAAGAATGATTTAATTTTTGGAATTTCAGTGTAAAACAGTATAAAATCTTGTCTAACTACTGATCAAAGGCTGTATTTACTTAAAGTGTAATTTGCTTGTTTTACAATTTTGTGACTAAGTGCTAAGTACAAAGTGTATATGCACAGAAATTTTTTATTGCTATCATTTTAAATTTGAAAATACCCGAATAATTAAATTCATTTGAAAATTGCTATTATGCATAAAAAAGATGTTTACATATTCAAGTTTATAGGAAATTTCATTCATTGAAGTTAATTTTTTTTATAATTTTAGTATTTTGATAAAGCAATGTGGAGAGAAAGCACTGGAGAATGTTCGAACACTGATACAACATATGTGTGTGGAGGTGACTGATCGTGCAGAGTATCGAACCCGGGTCACTCAAACTATTGTTGGAATAACAAAGGAAATGCCCAATGAAAGTTACAGCAAACTTGTGAGATGGTTTCACAAACTCTCTAGGAATACCCAGGTATTTTTGATATTCTGTACATGTACAGTAAACTCCAACTGTATCGATATCGCTTGTAATGATATATCGGTTATATCGATACGTTTGTCTTGGTCCCTGCCAACTTCCATTATAACCTAACGGAAGCATCCTCGCATATATCGATATCGCATGTATCGATATTTCGGATATATCGATGTGGATTTTCAACCCCAACGCACATATATTACCTCTTAAAACGATAATTTGCTGCACAAGTTTGTTGTGGAAGAGCGGTCTCGGTCCGCTTGTTTTAATGCATAAATATCTGCTCGATTAAATACAATGACGCGGAACATGTTCTTGACAAACGTATGACACGTGAGAAAAGATCTATTCTATTGTTTGTTGATAATTGCCCGGCCCATCCGAAAATCGAGGGATTAAAAGCTGTAAAACTGTTGTTTTTCCCACCTAACACTACATCTAAGTTACAGCCCTGTGATCAAGGGATTATCTTTTCATTCAAAAGGCATTACAGGTCACGTGTCCTTGACCATATTATTTCATGTCTAGACAAACATATCGATAAACAGATTAACATTCTAAAAGCCATACAATGGTTTTATGCGGCACGGAAAGATGTAACACCGACGTGTATCCAGAATTGTTTTAGAAAGGCTGGATTTATGAATCAAGCACAGCATGAAATGAATGCGACCCCGCAGGGGCATGTTTCCGATTCGTCTGACACAGACGAGTTTGAGGACGATGACATTCCGCTGGCTGAATTGGCATCGAAATGGAATCGCCTTAGAGTATTCAGTGACATAGACAAAAACATTTCTTTTGATGATTACATAAATGCCGATGAGAATGTTGTCTCCGTTGAGCAGAAGTCCGATAGCGATATAATAGCGGAGGTACAGCAAAAATTGAAACCCGCAGAAACCCTGTCGCAGAGTGACGAAGAGAGTGACTCTGAGACTGTTGATGACCCCCACCCACCATGAATGAGTTTCTTAATGCTATAGACACTTGCAGACGCTTTGTTCTTTCTAAGTCTGATTTGTGTGATTCTGTTTTCGGATGTTTACATGAACTTGAGAAATTTTCAGTTGAAATAAGGGAAAGCCAAAAAGCAGACAAAATTA